CTGCTTTCGCCTACTGTGAGAAAGTTGTGTGTTTGTTCGAGGTGCCCCCCCCTTTACAGAAAGCCCTCCTTGCAGGGGTGGTCTAGGCACCTTTATTATATTTTTTGTAAGGTGCCAGCTTAAGACCTGGTTCATTCTAACTTTTGAATGGGCAAGCTGGAAGTTGCTTCCCTTTTCATTTCCAGGCAGTGTTAACCCCGCCGCCTTGTTTTCATGGATGGCTGTGTTTGTTATTTTGAGTTGATGTGGCTGCTGTTTGGTTTGTTTGGTGTTTTTTGTTTTTGTTTTTGTTTTGCTTTTTTGTTGATGTTTCTGCTCCTTTCTGGTGGTGCCTAGATGGTGGTGGTGATGACGACCTTGCGTTCTTGAGGCAGGCGGTGCATCACGGCCTCTCCCATTTTGAAGAGACCCTCATCCAGCAGGCCGAGGCAAAGAGGCGGTCCTGAAACCAGCAAAATCAGAGACCTGGACAGGGGACAGACTGAATTTGTCCTCAGTGTGGAAGGGATGGTCACTCTCGAATTGGCCTTCTCAGAGCACGCTACCATAGTCTCTCGAGACTGAAGGATGCCTACATAACAGATAGTCACGTGCCATCAGCACTTAACAGTTCCCATTTTGGCTGATACTGTAGCTTATATATAAACTATAGTTAATGTCTTAGCTGGGTGTTCTTGAACTTTTTTTCTGCATCTGAGCCCATTTTCTCTTAAATACTACATTTGCTACTTGAAAATTTGCCCTTCATGTGCAGAACAGTAATTTGTTTTCAATGCATTGTAGGTCGATGGAGATTCAACCTACAGACTTTTCAACCTGCAGCCACTGTTCCAATACGGATTAATTCAGTAAGTAGAGGGTCCACTGTACACCCTGTTGTAAAATTCGATCCCTTCTGTGATTCCCACTCCAATAAAATCTGGCTTCCTTTATAATCCCACCCCTTCTGCTAATAGGTCATGAACCACCCATTTCTCCTCCCATCTCCCTGTACCATGGGTGACGACCAAATCTCCCTACGGAGAATATGGCGTTTGGTCAGGGAGTCTCTTAGGCCCCAAATCTCCCACTTTCTACCGAGGTAAGTCCTCAAGCCTTAGTAGCGCATAGCATCTGTGTCTTGGACAAGCCTGACCTTTGTAAAACACTTCACTTTACTCAGTATTTTGCAAGTGCTTAAACATGGGCTTTGTGATTCCTCAGAACTCACAACAGCTCAGTTAAATAGGACTTCTCTATAGTAGCGAGTTAGTGGCCTTTCCACTCCTCTGGATTTTGCCTAACCTTGCTGGTCCAAGAGACTAGTCCTCAATGAGATTTTCATAATTATTTTTATTAAGAAAATAAAGATCTATAGAAACAGTTAATTTGCATAAGCAGTAGCATGATAACATGTTCAAAGGTTACAATAGTTAAATAAAGTAGTTATTTCTTATTAAAAATAAGAAACACTAAGTTGTGGTAGGCCAATCCCACCCCTCCTCCTTCTTACCATTGTACATTCTGTAAACATCCAGCTACATAACACAATCCATCATAAACTACTCTTAGCTTGGCATAAGCTAAGAAAAAGCTCTCAACATCCCTTCTTCTCCATCTTTTCTAAACCCATCAGACCTCCTCCTTCATGGCTGTAAACCAATTCTGAGAGGTGTAACATCACTCTCTACCCCCATTTCCCATGAAGATGTAGGTGCATTGCCTTTTTCACAATTTGATTGGAATGTGTTGGGGCTTCACATTGGCGTATTTCGTCCTTGCACTCTTATCAGAATTCACTCTGTACCAGCCTAGCTGTAAATGAGGAAAAAGAGTCTCCCAGCCTTTACTACATTTCAATGCCTTCAGATCATTTCACTTTGAACCTAACATACTCCATTTTCTTTCAAACCACAAATCCAGAGGTGGGATTCAGCAGGTTCGCACCGGTTCCCACGATCCGTTTCCTAAATCTAATAATAGTTCGCCGAACCGTTTCCTAAACTGATGAATGAAGGAGGGCCAGGTGACCAGCGAGGAGGGGGGGGAGGGGGGCTATGTTTTTTTTCCCCAAGTTAAACGTAACTAAGGCTGTTGCTCTGACAATTTGTGGAGACAAATGGCACACATTGATCCTCACTCAAAAACAGGAAGACAGCTATCAGCTTTTTAACACTAGTAAGATTTACCACCAGGCCAGGGTTAAAGCAGAGCAGATCAACATATCAAAGGGAAATCTGAACTATCCAGAAGGGGCAGTAACCCTTCCACAAGGCCCAGCCAAACTCAACCAAGGCCTGGCGTATCTCTCCGGTGCAACTGGTAGCCAGAGAGGGGCCGGGAGGCCTCTGCCACAGGGCCATTCGGCTGCCAGCGTGCCCCTCTCTGGCTGGCTCTCCAGCCCCTCGTCCACTGACCTCCTCCCAGCAAACTCAAGCAGCCTGTTTGGGTGGCACCGGAAGCTCCTCCCATCGAGTGGTATTGGCCTCATGGTGGTGGATGGTCTCCCAGCCAGCTGCTTCTCCGTTGAATGATCAGCCGTAACAATCCAAAGACATTCCGTTTCTCGTCAAACAAGCCGGCATTTTAAGACTTCTTGGCCTTTATTCATTTGCTTTAGTGCTTCTTTGTTAGGCACCTTCTCAAACCAAGAAAGGCTTAGCTGCCTGCAGTAGAAGCACATTTCAAATGCTTCTCTCTCTTTTTAAAATAGTTGCATGTTTTAAAACCCCATAATTTCATGCTTTGAGGCAGAACTAAAAATGCATAGTGCAACACTATTATTGTTATTGTATTGATTTGCTGCCCAGGTTATTATTTGTTTCTGGGTTATTATGTTTTTTAGGATCTCACTGTTCATCACTGTGTGTGGGCATGGGTAGCTGGGGTTTCGTTGGGACAAATCTGTGTAAACAGTTTCAGATATTAGAATCTTAAAGTGGGTTAGTGAAGAAATAAAACAGATCTGGCCATCCAAATGTGGATTTTGAAGATTTTCAAGTCTGGATATGATGCCTGGTGTATTCAAGTGTGTTACAGTTGTACTCAGATCGCCATATGTGTGTCTTTTTCCACCAGAGGGCAGCAGTGCAGTCTTTTTAAAGAACCAACTTCACCTGGATAGTGGGTTATCAAAGATTATAAACATAATAATGAAACACTTCTTTCTATGTGGCTCTACAATTAAGAGAAATGGGAGATGGAGACCAGGAAGGGAGAGAAATCCCTTTTAAAAATCCCTGCTGAATGCCTTTGCTAGTGTTTCAGGGCAGGATTTGCCAATTTATATGGGATTAAAATCTCCATTATCCTCAACTATCAGGATTTTCCAATTCTCTTACAACAATGCCTGGATATTATTTTTAATGCAAGCTGAAAGGGAGGGGATCATTTTTCCAAACTACATATAGTCTTTCTTCCCTTGCTATTGGTCCCTTTCCTATAAATCATACTATTAACATGTCTGGTTCGATAAAAACTGATGGGGGAACTCATCCTAAGTCAA